AATGAATGGATATTTTGGCTTTACCATGCAAAGATGACACAGCTGGGCCACACCTGATTTATTTCACATATCTGCAGGCCTCTACAGAGCAGGTTATGGCTTTCCTTCTCCACTCTTCTCCCCTTGCAGAGGTCTGCTGTGAGGTTTTCATCCTCTGCGATCAGTTGTTGCCTTGCTGCTCCCAGGAACTGTAGTCTCAAAACATCTCAGATGATTTTGCTCAGACTCAAGGGAAAATTCCCTTAAATCTGCTCCAGTCCTGCTTTACCAAGGAATGGTATCAGTGACTACAGAAGGATCTGGTTATGCACTTTGTACTCACTAAAATGTGACATTTCACTGCTTTCCCCCCGCCTTACTTGGGGGTTGTCTGTAGGACTCAGCTGGAATTTTATTTCCAGCCAAATAAAATCCAAGTGGGGCAGAAATGCTCCCTATGGAGGGGTGGGAAGTGCTGATTCCCTGAGTTTAATTCCTGGAGCACCAGCTGTGTGTGCCACCTTCCAGCTGCACGAGGAGTGAGCAGAGCTGTGCTGATCTCTGTCCTGGCTGAGGGGGGATCACCCTTTAACCTGTAATTCAAACAGCAAATTTTGAATTTGCTGCAAACTCAAACAGGAGCAGCACAGCAAGCTCTGAAATTAGGGTTACCAAAATCTCAGGTGACAACTTAGAGAGTACAGTAAAATTAAGGCTGTATCCTCATTTTATTTATTTTCTTTTGACTCATGGTGAACCCATTATTTGTCCAGACTTTAAGAACAGTAAAATGCAAGTCTTGGGATTCTGCTCTGGTGAAATCTGGTTCACGACATTGCTGTTAACTTTCCTGCCAGTAGAAGCCTGAATGAAATCAGATGTCAGAATACTTGGGGATGATATCTACATTCTAACACACTGTGAAAATATTTACAAGCTTCCAAGATGAGACTTTTCCTGATTAGGGAAATCAAAGAATAGTTTTCCCAGCAGGCCTGCAGTTAGCTCATCCAAATTGCTTCTGTTTTAATTGGCATGCATTTCCTCTAAGCAGCTAGGAGATTAAAAATATTTGACTTGGGCTCTACAGGACTGGAAGCCTCTTCCCCCAGACACAGCAACTCTAAAAAAAAAATCCAACCAAACAGCCAGCTCAAGTTTAAATTGCATTTGTACAACAAAAATCCATCTTTGACAAGATTCCAGACCAAGGAACATACTGATATTCTGACTTTTTAATGAGGAAAATAAGGATGGTGGGCTTTTTTCCTCAGGTGTTCTGAGTGTGAAGTCTTTTGTACCTGAGTTGCATCTAAGTGGGCTGGGATTTTATCTCTGCTCCACAGCAGTCTTGTTTTCAAACTGCACTTTGGGACTTCTTTTACTTGGTTTTCTAGTATCAGGAGCATTGGGAAGAATAAGCAAAGCCAAATAACCTTCATTAAAAGTGACTGCTTTTGTCAGGGAAAATGAACTACTGTTGTGTGTGAAATTAATTTACTGGAGTTTTTATTTCTCTTTTGTTGAATGTGTCTGAGGAGGGATGTTTTCCCTACAAGTTGTTCTCACAGGGAAAGATGAGACCAGATCTGGAGGATTGGGAGGAGGAGGAGGTGACCCTGTTCTAGGATGGTAAGGAAAGCAAACCCTGGTCTCTCAGGGTTTGGTACTGGTGCCTCTTTATGTTCCAGGAAGATTTTGGTTATGGATTGAACCCACTGAAGCTCACCATGGAGAGAAGTGAAAGCAGCATCCAGAGCATGAAATCCAGTTCACTTTATTTATTGGCTCATTAGGATATTAGATAATTTTGATTAAAAATTTGATTAAAAATTGTGCCAGTATCACCTCCTTTAATCAGCCTTTCTTGGTAGTTCACTTAGAACATCTTGAAAACATCAATATGTAGAACATCTTGAAAATATCAGTGTTGTGAGTTTTTTTGTAAAATAGTCCCTTCCCTCACCTCCACCCAAAAGACCAGCAAACAAAAAAACCCACCACCCAAAAATCCAACAAACAAAAACAACTCCACCCAGAAAACCAGCAAACAAAAACTCCCCTCCCAACCCAGTGTAATAATGGGATTTCTTGTGGATGAGGCTCTTAATTCTCCCATTTGTGGTAACTGGATGTATTTTGGAGATGCAAAACCCCATGATGGGAATATTGCCATGTGCCAGCCACAACTTTTCTATTCTTTGGTGCAGAAATATTCAATATGCAGCAATTAGGATGGGTGAGGTGGTGGCGTGTCAGTCCTGCCAGCCTGGCAAGGGGCCTGGGCTTTGGCTAGGAGAGATTTTGGGATGGGATGGAGCCTGAGGATCCTGTTCCAGGGGATTAGGGAGCTGCATTAGCAGGGAATAATGTCAGTCATGCCCTGTGCCTGCTGTGTTTCTCCATCTGCCTCTCAGAAACACGAGGTGGTGTTTCCCTGGTGGCACAGCATTAGGTGAGTCATGAGCAGCGCAGACTGCCAGTGATTTGGTTTTGAAGCTCTGAAGGAAGTGTAAACTTCATATTTGTTGTTTATTGGTTAATATTTAATTGGAGGTGAAATTAAAAATTAAGCAGGCAAATGACTCATGCTGAAAAGCAACAGCACTGTCTTGTCAGCACTGTGGCTGACAAATGACAATGAATTTCTAAGAATGGAAGAAAATATATTAATTTATAGCACAGGCAGCCTAAAGAGATGTTTTGATTGAGAGGAGTAGACACATCCTACAGAAAGATCATGGAGAAAATGTTTTTGATTCTCTGTTTAGTACCCTTTGCATTAGAAATTAAATTGGTAGATGGTTCTCTTCAGAAAACACTCAAAATTGTCTTTTTTTCTGTGGTTTTATGGAATAGTTTAAGAACTATTTTATTATTTTGAAGCAACATTTAAAAAGATTTTTTTTATTAGATCAATGTTTTTTCCATCTTCTTTTCTCTTAAAATCATGGCTGTTTGAGATGCCCAGCTTTTGACACCCTGAACTGCACTTAGGAACAGACTTTATTGGTTTTTTCTAACCACTGGAAGTCAAGAGCAGCCTGTTATTTCAGCTATTCCTTATCATCACTGTAGCCTTTCTGACAATCAGATCTCAATCTGCATTTTGCTGTGGTTGGCAGCAGGCAGAGCCTGGGATGCTGCTGGTAGGAAGGAGGAGCCCTGTGCTGCCTCCTGGGATGAAGCCTGCTTCACTGGGCATCTGTGACATTTCTGGCCTGCAATTTTTTTCCCCAAATAATGCTGCAGGCCGATGCTATTTCTGTTTGGAATACTGATCCATCCTGTTTACAAAAAGACAAAGCAATAGTATGAGTAAGGCGTTTTCCTCCTGCTGTATATAGGCATTACCTGGGGATGGCTTGAGGCTGAGCAGTGCCCAGGATGCAGCCATGGAGAGCAGAGTGTGGTTCACCATCTCCTGATTGGCAAATAAAACCTTTTTTAATTGCTACCTCGAGTTTCTCCTTGTTGTTTCCTGTAAAAACATTTTGTGCTGAAATTCTCATCTCGTGAATGTGAGAAGCAATATGTGAAACTGAGGGTGGCAGAAGTTCTTAGCACTAGAAGATACATCAGTAAATAGGATGGGTGGAAGAAATGTGTAGCAGTTGGCTGGTATTTGAATTTTGGGATGTAATAGCATAGTGAAACTTGAACTTCCTTTTTTTTTGTTTTTTTTCTTTAACTTTTTCCTTCACAGAAATCAAAGGAATGTTGAGGTTTGAAGCTGTAAAGGAGAGGGCTGGTAGAGGTTCAGCTTTGTTAATTGAGCAAGGTAACTTCAAATTAGTGCTCACACAGGGCTGATCTTTGTTGCTGCAGAGCAATGGCAACATCCTTAGAGAGTGGAAATAGCAAACCCTACGTGTTACATCAGCTGTAGCTGGGTGGGAGATTAAAATTATTGCACAAATCTAAAACTGGGACTTGAAAGGCACTGGGCTCTTCTTGATGTGCTTTATCTGGGCATTTATATATAATTTCCACTGGGAATTGCTGTGCCTAGAAAGTTCAACATGTGACCTTTGCCTGTGACAGGTTGGTCAGTTATTAGGCTGCTGGGGTGCCCTTTGGAAGATCTTTTTTATTATGAAAACGATTCTGAGACCTCTAGATTAGACAGTGCACTCACACTAACCCGCTTGAGGCAAAAAAGAAACCTTTAATCTCTGTTAAAACTCTGCGTGCCAAATATAATAGCTGGTTTCAGCAGTATTTAAACCAACTTCATTAGAATATGGGAAGGGGAAACAGGTTTTAAAGGCTGGCTTTAGCAAATAATCAACTGTCTCCCAGATGGTCCAAATGGGACTCGTTCAACACTGCACATAGAAAAGAAAATAAAGTAAGGGGAAAAGGAAGAAAAAAGAGAGAGCCCAGCAGCATCCTGTGTGTGTGTGCCTGTGGTGACAGGGCTCAGGGGAAAGGGCTCCTCATACAGAGCTCTGCTTCTTCCAACCCAGACATCCTGTTGCATCCATGCTGTGCTGGCTTGCACAGAAGGCAAGGCTGAAAGATGTAATGTATTTAAATATATTCTGCATTTGTGATGGTGGCTCTATAGTTTTTCCCCAAGTTTCACCACCCTCGTGCTAAAAACCAGTTTTGCTTTAATCTATTATGAAAACTGGTGATGTTTAACCCGTTGTTAACTCCGGAGCCTTATCGGGAGCCTTTTTTCTGGGCAGAGGACAGCCCGGGGTGGTTGTATGGAGCAGAGCACGTACTGGGGGTGCATCCTGCACGCCGGCCTAATCGCTCACTAATTAATATTCATGACTCATCTCATTTAGCGGCTGCTCCTTGGACTCGAGCAGCCCTGCTATTGGTGCCCGAGCTGTGGAGAGCTTTATCTAAGGCAGAGCGGTGTTGTCCTGGGGTGGATGCTGCCGACCTGCAGCACCTCCAGGACACCCCAACGCGGTGCTGCGCCGCTCCTCTGAGATGCCACAGCCCTTTTGACACCACCCACCGTGTCCCACCTTGTAATGAGTCCTTTCTGCTTGCTCCCAAAGGTCCAGAGGAAGAAATGACCATGTAGATTCTACAGCTTGGGTGCAACATAATGGGAAATGGTGAATGGAGTGGAGCTGGTCTGCAGCCTTGAGAGCAGCCGTTCTGTGACCTCCAGCCTGTCAGGGACACCCTCCACGCCAGGGGCATCCTCCACGTCGCTCGCCGGACACACGCGGGATTCTTTTTAATTTCTCCGATTTGGAATTCGAGATTCCTCTCCTCCAATTTTTAAACAGTTTTAAGATTGTATCAACTACGAGTGGAGCAATATAACCAGCCACGATGGGTGACATGACAAATAGCGATTTTTATTCCAAGAACCAAAGAAATGAGGCCAACCATGCAGGAGAGTTTGGGTGCACACTGCAGGAACTGCGCTCCCTCATGGAACTCCGAGGGACAGAAGCAGTAGTAAAAATTAAAGAGACTTATGGGGAAACAGAGGGGCTCTGCAGACATCTGAAGACATCACCAACAGAAGGTAAGCACTTCTCACTTCACTTGAATTAGGGGACTTTGTGCAAATGCTCTCCAGAGCAGCGAAAAAAGGGGTTTTGATTCCTACCTGAACAGAATTCTCATGGTGTTACCATTATTCCCAACAATAAAACAAGAGTCTTCTAAGGAAGACGACGAACCAGTCCAGCTATGGCTAAAGCTGGCATGAGCGTGAAAGGAGTGCTTCTTGTTTTAACAGCTAAATGCATTAATTCTTCCTTAAAATGACACAAAAAATCAGCACATGTTTTAGGCATTGCAAAGAGACTTGAATCTCTGTGCTCTTGGGGTTAAGAATGTGCAAAATAGTTGCTTTGAAGCAGCTTCTAGGTATTTGGACATCTTGAGAGTATGAAATGACATTCTGAGATGCACATTGCTACTGTGCAGATCAATATTTTTTTTATATTTATAAATGGGTAACTAATCTTCACTTATTATATTACCATAGATTATTTTGCTTAAATCATCAGTCTGTGATTGTATCAATGTTTTTAGTAGTTGCACTCCTGTTGTGTGTAAAACTAAGCTTCATACATTTCTTATGTTTAATGCTACCAATCATAACTTTCCAGTACCTCTTTTCCTAAGTCTTTTTAGAGACTTCTACTTGATAATTTATTTGTCTGGTTTTCAATGCTCAAACCAAATAGCACCCCATAAAGCATTGACAATGGTGCAATGTTTCCCTCTCCTCGACAATTTTCTTTCTCTTTAAGTGCAAGTAAAATTCTGTTTAATTCTAAGAATTCTATTTTTGTCACTGTATTTTCATCTCCAAGGAGTATTAACACTTTTGGAAATTACACAGTCTTTCAGTCTATAATGTTTCTGCAGTCTTGTAAAGTAGCCAAGATGTTCATTTCAAGTTCTTTTCTTTTTCACGAAGATAGAAGTCTTGGATTTGTTCCATTCTCTTCTTTCTAAAATTAATAATTTAGTTACCTCCAGTGTTTAAATGCCTCAAACTCTGGAATTATTGGTGTGATCATAAACAGGTCAATTGTAGTGATACCATAAATTATCCCAGCTGAAGGGTCCTAAAGGAGCAGCTGTCAATGTCTCAGCCTGAAGAATTCCACATTTGCAGAAAGTCAGAGCTCTGAAGTCTCTTTCTGAGCTGAGCTCACGGCGGTGACTTCAGTCAAGTTCTGCCAACTCATTCTAGTGGTTACCTGGTCAATGTGAACTTCAAAGGAGATGTTAATTGCATTATGTGTTCAATTTATGACATCAGGGAAACTCAATTCCTCATGTTGGAACAGAGTGTATGGATCCAGCAGCGTGGCACACTGACTCCAGCAGTAATCTATATCTGATACTGCAGATAAGGTAACTTTCCTCCAAGCATTACGTGTACTTCATCACTTGTGCATTAGGGAAAAACCTTTCCAGCTTCAAATGGCAATCAGCATAGCCTTGGAATTGTGAAGACTCTGCTGGGTTTTAATTTTCAAGTAGATCACATAATAGGAATTCCCAGTCACACAAAGCTTACCTCTTATTTTTAATTGTTTTGCTTGGAAAAATTCTCTGAAATATGTCTTGTCAAACTCTGGAAAGTTTCACTGGAGAGAAAGTATCCATCACAGAGAAACTTTAAAGGCTTATGGCAAACACAAGCTTATATTTAGCTCTATGTCCCAAGCCATTGTTTTTCTTGATTCCAAGCTCAGTGTAGAGGATATTCTTGGAGACATGACTATTCTTAGAGGAAAAAAACCCCATAATAATTTCTTATGTGGAAATGGATTCTAACATCAAGCAGACATGATTTGAAAATTAATTATTGACATACTGAGCTTTATCCTTTGGTACCTGCAGCAAAATGTGGATTCCTCATTGAAAACCTTTGTGAAAAAACTCAATTTGCTACAGTGCCTGAAAATCACTTTTCCAACCAGGCATCATTTTTGGTGAAGCACAGTTCACTGAACTTCCTTTGTTTTTCATATGTTGGTGTGCTGCACATCTCACATGGTTTTATGGGAAATATGAAATAAGAATTACTGCAGGGCACTTTGAAGAAACCAAGTGGCTGAGCAGGAGTCCTGAGTGACTGAAACACTAAAAAGGACCTGACTGTAGAACTTGGTTCTTCCTTGCCTTGTAAGATCTTCCAGAATTTATCTGCATCAAGTCCTTGTAATTTTGTGGAATAAGGGCTGAAACAGGTACCAGACCAGAGGAAAACAAAAAAAGTTTCCTGGCAGCAGGGACATGATAATTTGGTAAAATGTGGCCTAAACTGAATTTAATGGTTTATTTAGAAAGCGAGAAGTAGTCATGAGTTCAGAGCTGACTCAGTTCATTTCCCATGTTAATATTTGATGTCTCACCTATGGATTGGTTGGATCAATCACACTTAGAAGTGCTTTTTGAGACTGTTTTAAAGGCCCTGAACTTCTCAAGTGAAGACATCATATTTGTAACTCAGATGTCATTGACTCTGCTGTGAGGATCATTTGCCAGTGATTGCCCTGTCTCAATTCAGCATGGAGCTGGGGAAGTCTGCTGAATGTTGAGTAGAATAATATTTGAATGCTAAATGAATTAATAATATTATTATGGGTTTCAAGACTTCAGTCTCTCCTTTAAATTTTCTTTGATTGCTCTTTTAGCTATAGATGCAGTGGAGATCCCAGCTCTCAGTTATGCCTGAGGGATTTCCTGCCCTAAAGTGATTATATTATAATGAAAAGCTCCTATTTAACTGCTCATGAAAAGAACCTCCCAAAAAATCTATGGAAATAATTTATGTGAAAAAAACAGACATGAGTTTGCTTTAAAAATATTTATGTTCAGATTGGTTTCACTTTCGTTATCCCAGAAATATAGGCAAGATCTATCCCTGTCACTTTGCAAAACAATGCTGAATCCCCCGTTGGGCAGAGCTGTGCTGACAGTTGTAAAATTTTCCATGCAATTGGAGTCTCCAAGGCCCGCTGGAGCATCAGTGATACCTTATAAAGGACAGCTGGTAAAATGGGATGAGTTAGTTGGATGAATACCAAATGAGACTGGAATCCACTCTCTCCAATACTTAACTATATTTACGCACAATTTTATGTAGTACCCACCAATTTACAGTAACTTTTTCATCTACTTTCCCTTATAAAAATGTTTATTTCTTATAGGAGTATGTCAGTGAATTAAATTCCCTGATTTCTTGCTTAAAATACTTGGATGCTGCAATTTCCAGTGCATGTAAAAAAGTGAAGAATTCACTGTGTGTAGGATGATGAATACCCTGAGTGGGAAGGGATCCACAAGGATCGTTGATCCAACCCCCGGCCCTGCACAGGCACCCCAACAATCCCACCCTGTGCAACCCTGAGAGCACTGTCCAAAGGCTCCTGGAGCTCTGGCAGCCTTGGGGCCATGCACCAGCACATTATAGTGAAGTTTTTAAAATTTTTATATGAAGTAGGAACCTTTCCATGGTAGTATCTGTGCAACCACACCCCAGACATGCGCTCCAGAAGGTGTTACATGTTGGAGATGACGTTACAGCACAACAGAAGAAGTCTTTCTGTTGGTATTTACTGGATACAGAACAGGTTAATGTTCTAGAAATGGGCTGGTAGAGTGCACCGGGGGAGAACATTTCAGCTTCATTTTGTGGTTTTTTTTCCTGTAGGTTTCGGCATACCATGAAAAGGTTTTTGGAAAGACACAATATCAATTCGCAGTTAACTGATTATATTTCTACTGTAGAAGTTGCCTTTTTAATTATCACAACTGCCCTTAGTTGAGCTACCAGAGAAGTTCTCTCTCTTTTCAAATTGTGTTTGTTGTGTGGGGGATACAACTGAGAATCAATTGGGCCAGCTGTGGAGGTGTGTTTATTTTTCGTTATTGCAATCTAAAAAGCCTTTCACAATTTTAACGATGAGGTAGGAGATGAAGAAAGATTGAATGCAACAAAATTAGCCAACTGCTTTTAATACTTGTTAGTTTTGGTTCCTCACACTTGCTTCTATAAAAATGCACCTTTAATAACTTAATAGTCTGTTTGGAAGCTGCTCTTGCTGGTTCACACTGAATTGCAGTCAGGTGCACCACTGTGTTCAATCAGCTACAGAGATGCAAAGAAATTGGAAAGGAAATTGGGAAAGGAATGAAAAAATACTTGATTCAGACAAATAGAAGTTTAAAATAGAAATATAAAATAATTGATTCTATGACTGTCAGAGACTAAGCTTTATTTTAATACACTGTCAAAACAGACCATGAATGTAAAGAAATTGGTGATAGCATCATTTTCATTGTTAAAAATATACACTTGGTAATGTATAAATCATTAAATATTATCCATAAGTTCAAGATCTTCTTACGTTACTTTACATTTAAGGTTAGGATGGATAATATTTGATTGATTTTATAATTTCTTTAAAAGGAACATTGCCAGCTGTCTGAAAGTAAATTTGAAGAGTTCCTTTGTGATGTTGATCTGAAGTACTTTGGAAGCCTTCAAAGCAGCACCTTAAAAGCCTTGTAGGAGCAGACCTGCTCATCTTCTCTCTGGGTCACCACACTGCCTAATTCCTCATCTTTATTTGTGGTGTCAAAACATCTCTTGCAGTTCAGGCCCATTTGCCACCCCCCAGGCAGCAGCCAAGCTCCAAGTCCACATCCAGCCCTTATCTGTACATGCTCTCCCCACATGGAAGGTTTTCTTTGAACAATGAAAACAGCCCTGGCCATGAAAAATCCCCTCAGCACTGGCAGGGCCAAGGCCTCGCAGGGCCGAGGCCTCACGGGGCTTTTTGCTAGCTCACATGGAAAAACCCCATGGATTAACTTTAAACTCATATTTCACCTGGCTGTCCATGCAGTGCTGGGTGTGGCTGAGCTGCTGAGAGCTTGGATAACCTGGCATTTTGCTGTGGTGCCATCAGTGGGCACTGGCTGCTCCCAAGTGCCCCAACAGGCTCCCAGGGACCTGTGCTTGGCAAAGGGGCTGGCTCTGCCCGTGAGGGG